AAAGGATAAATGGACACAAATCAGATATTAGGAATGGCAATATACAAAAACCTGTAGGAGAACACTTCAATCTCCCTAGACACACACTAGCAGATTTAAAGGTAGCCATCCTGCAGCAAAAAAACTTCAGGATCAGACTTCAAAGAGAAACTGCAGAGCTTCAGTTCATTTGCAAATTTGGCACCATCAGCTCAGGCTTAAACAAAGACTGTGACTGGCTAGCCAACTACAAAAGCAGTTTCTCCTCCCTTGGTGTTCACACCTCAACTGCTAGAAGAGGGCCTCATCCTCCCTGATTGAACTAACCTCATTATCCCTAGCCTGATTCTTGCTTGCATATTTATACCTGCCTCTGGAAATTTCCACTACATGCATCTGACGAAGTGGGTATTTACCCACAAAAGCTTATGCTCCAATACATCTATTAGTCTATAAGGTGCCACAGGACTCTTTGCTGCTTTTACAGATCCAGACTGATACTTGTTTTTTTAAGAGAGTACCTGCGGTTATACTTTTCCCTTAACTGTTCTCTCTTCATTCCAGTCTCCTATAGGTGCTTAATGTAAAGCACTACCCTAATATAACTCTAGCAAACTACAGCCAACATAACATGCAAAGGTCACTAGTTAGGAAATGCTAGGTAGGGCTGCAGAGCTGGTGTTAGTATAGCTTATTGCTTAGTATAGATTGGCCAAATCCGCTCTGCAGATTTTCGTGGCATCATGCTAGCATAGCTGAGAAAGAAACTTGAGCTACGTCTCAAGATATGTTGCAATAAATCCAGAAGTGTTCTGCTCCAAAAGAAATTAAAGATATTAAATGATGAAATATAGCAAGAGACTGTGACTCTCCCTTGCGTATACATCTAAGGAAAAGCAAATGATGAATGTTTTATGATCTCCAATAGGATATAAACATAGTGGTGCAGTTCTTTTCTGGAGACCTGATTATCAGTCAGATATAGAATCACAGAAATATAAGACAGGAAGGAAACTTGATAAGTCATCTAGTCCTGTCCCCTGCACTGGGGCAGGACTAAATATTAGCTAGACCATCCCTGACAGGTGTTTGTCATTGGAGGTTTTTAAGAACAGGTTAGACAGATTCCACAACCTCCCCAGATACTTTGTTCCTAACTGTAAGGTTCTGTAAGAATAGGAAGTTTCTCATGTCTAACCTAAATCTCCTTTGTTTCAGTTAAGCCCATTGCTTTTTGACGTGTCCTCAGTAGTAAGGAGAACAATTTTAACAACTTTTTATGTATTTGAAGACTTATGTTTCTCATCAGTCTTCTCCCATTTTTTTCAGTTTTTCCTCTTAGGTCATGTTTCTTAGACCTTTAATCGCTTTTGTTGCTCTCCTCTGGACTTTCTCCAATTTGTCCACATCTTTCCTAGAGTACAGTACCCAGAACTGGACACAATACTCCAGTTGAGGCTTATCAGTGCTGAGTAGAGAAGAAGGAATTACTTCTCTTGTCTTGTTTATGACACTCCAGCTAATACATCCCAGAATAATATTTGCTTTTTTTGAAACAGTAGTATATTGTTGACCCATAGTGATCCACTCTAAATCCCCAGATCCTTTTCTGCAGTATTCCTTCCTAGGCAGTTCTTTCCCATTTGTATTTGTGCAACTGATTATTCCTTCCTAAGAGTAGTAATTTGCACTTGTCTTTATTTCATAAATAAGGCATTTCATAAATGCGGCATTTCATAAGTGCCTTTCAGACCATTTCTCCAGGTTGTCAATATCATTTTGAATTCTAATACTGTCCTCCAAACTGCAACCCCTCCCATCTTGGTATCCTCAAACAGGAAGTTACACCTACAAGCTCCAGTGCAGATATACCAAAACAGTGCAGCTGCCCTTGGAGCTGGAGGTAACTGGCAGTCCTGCTTGCTGCACGTAAAAGCTAGAAGTTATGCCTGCAAAGCCACCTTCCATCCCTTCTACCTTAAGGTTTCTCTTCAGCTGTCAGCCAGGTAGACTGACAGGGCTGTATGGTCCTCAACAGGCGTCCCCCAGGAGTAGGGCTGCAGTAATGACTCCCCACACACATGTTCACTACCACAGTACTAGTAGGCTATTTTGTACTGGGCAATTCCAAAAACAGTCTTGACAGGGTTGTGAAACAAAGATATTTGATTTTGGAAGATATAATGGGCTTGAATTAAACACTTTCTGAGGGTGGGTTACTGGTTAGATCTCATCCCTTTTGGTTGCAATGAGGTTTAATTTTGTGTGTTCTGATGCTAAACCATGTTTGGAAAGATTTCTCAGGGTATGTCAATGCCAGACATGCCTCTTTCAAAAGAGCTTAAAGTCTGGCTGTTTTCACTTAAGTGCTATTCAGAATGAGTAAGGGGTGACCCTTATTCATAGGACTAGTTAAAGAGCAAGGCATTACTCACTGAGTAAAGTTATGGCCCAATCTAGCCCTTACTGCACAAACTTCAAAGTGTGACGCAAATGGGGAAACGAGACATGAACTGCAGTCATAGAACTGACTTCTCCTAAAGACTAGTTAACAAGTTTGTGTATAAATCTCTCTCCTGTTAGAAATTAACAGCTAATTTCCACTACGCCTATTGTGCAAAATGAACTTTAATGTATGGAGCCAGTAGAATTGTTTATGATAGAGGCTGGCATTTTCAAAAGTCCCATTCACTTAACAGGGATCAGAGTTAGGTTTTTAATGAACACTTTTGATATTTCTCCCTGGTGTCTGTTTGAACACATGGTTATCATTTTAGTGTACTCTGTGCACCTTAGATGAATTTGCCTGTGAATGTGTAATTAACTGTGTTTGTTTTGTACAAATGTTGACTCAGTGTACACTGACAGAGCAGAGAAGGGTAGTTTTGCACCCTAAGATGTTTCAAGCAGGCCATACTGTAAGTATTATTTTTAAAAATCCAGTTCCAGTGTGTTGGGTTGTGAACTTAAGTGTTCTGTTAACTTATATTTGAATACTAGAGTATCTTATTTGATATATAAAATAAAAGTGAAAAGTTCAGGAAATACAAACACTGACCTTTGGGCAATCATACTGTAATAAATAAATGCTGTATGTTTGTCTATATTCCATGTTGACTCTGTATAGTACATTTTATATATGCCTGGGCAGCTGGGGAATTTTAAAGTTTGTTGAAGAGCAAATGGGGGTAAATGAATAGTTAAGAAGAGTACCTTGTACCATACCCAGAGAGGCAATGGGGCTAGAATACCAATGGAGTCAGAATACCTGGGTTCTATTCCCATTTCTGCCAGTGACTTGCTATATGCTTGGGTATTTCAGTTAACCTCTGTGTTTCTCTGTCTATTCAATGAGCATACCCACTTTGAGAAAAAAATCTATAGATGGAAAAATGCTCTGTAACAGCTCAGTGTCAAAATATATTTAAGCATTTCTTAAAGCTTATAAACTTCACCCTCAGAATGAATAAGAATCCTTTAAGTGTTATCATTTAGCTTTATAATACTTATAGCAATTACTTGGTAACATTTTAAAATTATCATCACAATGAATAAATATGCAATTTTCAGAGTAGCAGCCGTGTTAGTCTGTATTCGCAAAAAGAAAAGGAGGACTTGTGGCACCTTAGAGACTAACCAATTGAGCATAAGCTTTCATGAGCTACAGCTCACGTCATCGGATGCATTCAGTGGAAAATATATTGAGGAGATTTATATACACACAGAACATGAAAAAATGGGTGTTTATCATACACACTGTAAGGAGAGTGATCACTTAAGATGAGCTATTACCAGCAGGAGAGTGGTTCTCCCCCCCCACTCTCCTGCTGGTAATAGCTCATCTTAAGTGATCACTCTCCTTACAGTGTGTATGATAAACACCCATTTTTTCATGTTCTGTGTGTATCATACACACTGTAAGGAGAGTGAGAGAACTAAGAGGTTCTCTTGGCAAGTAAATCTCCTCTGGGACAAAATCCTAGCCTCAGAAAAGTCTATTGAAGTTTTGCCACGGACATCAGTGGGGCCAGGATTTCACCTCTGCAGTCCAGCTTGCAGCCAGTGAATGAGGGAAGCCATAGTGCAGGCAGTGAACAGTGCACCAGTTAAAGCCAGCTATATGCTTGCCACTTCCCAGGGAAGAAGATGGTTCTGAGCTGCACTGCCTAGCCCAGTGTCTCTCAACCTTTCAGGAGTCTCATTTGTCTTATGTTCCCCCACATTTCACCACTATTACTGAATCATTGCTTAATTTTGTCATTTATACCACAATCCTAAAATTAAGTCAGTTGGAATATAAATATCATACATACTTACATTTCAGGGTATAGTATATAGAGCAATATAAACAAGTCATTGACTCTATAAAATTTCAGTTTATACTGACTTTGCTAGTGCTTTTCGTGTAGCCTGAACTAAAACTAAACAAATATTTAGATTAGTTGATGTACCTGTTGGAAGACCTCTGCATACCCCTGGTTGAGAACAACTGGCCTAGATAACAGCAAAGGAGGTGCGACCCAGGTTGCCTGGAATCCATAACCCCACACATTCTTGAAAATAATTTGGCAAAAACTTAAGCAAAGAAAATTTTACAAAGGGCCCTGATTATGACTCTCCAAAACGAAATGGTATTAAAGGGCTCAGTCCACAGTGGCACTGGGATCACCACAACTTTTAAGAGGGCTGGCCTACAAGCCTGAAGCATTTTGATCTCTGTCTGCTATAACTGTTATTGGGATAGTGGGTCTGAGTAGACTTAATCAGTGAGGTAACAAAGAGCAAATTTTATTAGTCTCAAACATCTGATTAAAAATATTAAGTGCTACTGGGTAAATTTCCAGTCAGACAGATTAAAAACAGGATCCCTGCCCCACACTTTCCAAGTTTAAGGCACAAGACAGTACAAACCAGCCCTGAGATGGTGAACACAGAGCAGAGCACAGTCACAAACTGAAAAGTGTTTGTGAAGAGAGAGTAAAAACAGTGAAGTTTAAGGGTGTATAGAATGAGTCATGTACCTTATGTGTGGAAGTACCACTTTCTTTTGGGTGAGACAAACTTCTGAAACTGCTCAGAGCACATGTACTTCATGGAGAGAACTGTATTTCGTAAGTACATATAAACAACAGTAGATACTTATATTGAAGTTCAGTCCAACTTAAGGCAGCAATGCAGTTTTCAGTGACTGTCAATCAAATCCTCTTTGTACAGCAGAAATCTAAGCACTGGCAAACAAATATATACCTGAATAGCATTCAGTGACTCACTCAGCATGAAGGTTAATATTGAATCCCCTAAATTAAATTTCAGATAAAATTTTACTCTGAAATGAGAATTTTAACAAAACAGTATGAGAATTTCTTCATGCACTTTCACTGTCCGTGAGCTACTGCAATTTCTTCCCATGACCAGATTCCTTAATCTACTTTGCTGTTTTATGGCAGCACATTCCTAAGAAATATTCTTTATCCCCTCTTTCATATAGGAAAGAAATTAATTTATTCACATTGTAATGAATAGATTACATGTAGAGTCTTATCACACAAACCTTGCATAAGTTAGGAAATAGGTTCAGAATTTAGGACCATTGTAGGCTGCTGAATGTCAGTGCTATACCCAAGTATATAATTAATAAAATAAACTGATCTTTCCCCCCTGCATTGTGGATACAAATTTTATCTCATTATAGCAATAAAGTCAGAACATTTCAGGGCAACTCAATTTCAGGTAGCTGGAGTCATGTGGCCTTTAACTTTGTATATTAACACCCTCTCCATATTATAGCTAGCCAGATAAGCAATAAGACATGGAGATGCATAGCAGAAAACATTTAAAGACTATTACTCAAGCTCTCAGGATTAAAAACATTCAAGGTAATGTAGAGACAGAACAAAATTACTCAACTATTCAATAAAACCTTTAATTAGGACTACAAAATTGCAATCAACTTACATTGTTCTAAAAGTGCTGTAGCACAACGGATTATTACTGCATTGCATCAGTGTTAATAAGCGAATGTGTTATCTTTGAGATAACCAAGTTTTTCCAGATTGGGCTGACACGCAAACTGAATCATAGGTGGAGGCCCACACATCAGAATAAGAGTATCTCTGTCTGGAGGAGGGAGGTATGCTTTAATCATGTCTGCAGTAATGAAGCCAGAGCTATACTTCCAGTCTGAAACAAACAACAAGGGATACCATTAATACCTTACAACAATTCAAACATATATTCACACTAAAGGTCCCCATCCTGCCCCTCAACGTGACACCAGCCACACACACACACAGACAAATATCCCGATAGATTCAGCATTTATACCACATTACTGTAAGCAAGCACTTGACAAGGGTAGGATCAAAACCCTGGACTACATCCTCCACTGTTGTAAGTACAACCTTGTCTAGGGCACGCAATAAGCAGGCTGCTTCACACTGCGGCATCTACCTACACACAGCAGGGAAAGGCTCCACCAGCGAGAAGCTGCCGCTCTCCTTGCTGCCTCTCCCCTGCCCTGGGGAAAAGCTCCAGCAGTGGGATACTGACATGAGAGGCACTGCTTGGGCATGTAGAAAGCCGTGTAGGGTATATACCCTAAGGTTCTGGCATGTCTTTACTCACTTAAACAGTGCTTCATCTTCTACACTGCTTATTCTACCCAGGCTGCTTTACGTGTAGACATAGTTGTGATCACTTACACCAGCCATTCATTTGGCTGTGTGTTTTGTGAGCTAGATACAGTAGAGCTCTAGCTTTTTGTTTTCCATCCCAATACAGTACTACATAGAAACCCACAACTGATTCTTTATCTTTGTATTGTGCAACTGCACCCTATTTGAAACTGATCTACTGTAAGCGGCACTTGTACATTTGCCTGTTGTGCCCATAGCAAGTACTAAGCAGACACGATGCCAAGGTTACATCATTCTGCTGATGAAATGAGGAGGGAGACTAGACAAAGCAGAGTTGTGTATTTTGCTGAAAAGTCCAAGAAACTGACACTTTACCCTACCAGTACCATGACAAACATTTCACTATCCAAAGGTCCGCAGGTAATGGTTGCATCATTCAATGGAAGTTAATTATTAGTTCCTGTTTTCTAAGGTTTACAGAACAGCTCCCTGCTGGTTATCAGATACTAGTAAGTTCACTAGGAGTGCTCAGATACCATAGGAATGGATGTTTGGATATTGTAGCAATATCCATTAGTAGGAAGGATTAAACCTGTGGCTTGTATACAGAAAAGAGGGCAGAAGAAAATCTTCCTTCGAACACCAGTAACTTACCATGAGGAGGTCTGTCCAATGTATACTGCACCTTAAATTGATCAGGGTGATTCTTGGCTACCTCTTCCAGCTCAGCTCTCAGTAATATGTCTTTTTCAGTCTGTTTAAAAAAAATAAAAGGGGGGGGGGAATTGTTTGTCACCAGACCATAACAGTGCACACAGTAACATGACTAACATGGCACTTACTTCGTTTTCAGCAGGCAGGAATCAGAGTTTCTCATTTATCAACAGTCAGTAGACAAACTGAATTTTTCTTAAGCATATGGTAGTTTATAATTTTCTTCACTGTAAATCCAGATTAATAGTAAAAACAAATCAGATTTAACAGCAACCTAGCTGATACTAGTGTTAAATAGTTAAACAGCCAAATGCCAGGAAATTCAGAATCAAGGTTAAAACTCTGATTTGTCTTGGTCTCCCCACCAGTGGGGTTTTTTTTGCATATTACAAACATGGCAGTGCCTCGGTATAACAGTGAGAGTTAAGAACAGGGAGTGAACTTCTGGCCTCCCTGAAATCAATGGAGCCAGGATTTCACCAAAAATCTTCAGTTCAGGAGTTCGGGGCTTCTGGCAGTTTTACATGCACAAACATTTTGTACGTTGTATTAATATGATTTCTTGGGGATATTTTTTCCTTTTTGTTGGTTTAAGAACAAAAGAAACCAAACCCAGGACAGTGTCTGAGAACAGATGCAATAACCTGTAATATCTCTTGTAACTTCTTATATAGATCATTTTTAAATAAACCATGTCAAATCACATAGCAGCCTTGATAATCAAAGGGAGTTCTGCATGTGAAGTGTGTGGACTAGGACTACATGCTTTAATATAACTGTGTGGTACGTATGCATAATACAGATCAAGAGAAAAATCTTGTGATTCAGGGAAGTAATTTTTCCAAATTAAATATCCCAACAGTATCACCAGTTCAAAGTCCTCTTAATGGTGTCCCTGGGGTAAAAAAAGAGGGCAAACAAATGACCCAATATATTTACCTGATTAGCAAAAAGGAGGTAACACTTTGTATCATCATTAGGATCCTTTGTGATGTGACGGATCAGCTGCAACATCGGAGTTATTCCTATTCAAAACAAAAGACAATTATAGATGAGCTTTTCCTTTTAGCTCACATGAAGGCTGCATTATCAGGCAGTATGGCAAGCTGACGTCAGTGGAAGTATTGTCTGCATGAAGCCACAAGATCAGGCCCATAATATCCCAATTTCAGATCCATGTCAGCTGTAAAGTTTCTTCTTTTTACTCAAAAAAGCTGCAAAGTAACACTTTACCTAGTGCTTTATTAACATTAAATAATAAACACTCTGGTAGGATAGGTAAAGTAAATATTATAACCTCATTGTACAGAGGCTGACACAGACTCAGAGAGGTTAAGTGACTTGCCCAAGATCACATAATGAATCAGTTTAAGAGCCAGGACAAAACATGTGTTCCTGGCTCATAGGCGTGAGCTCAGACCACATCTCTCTTTCTCTGTATTATGATGATTATTAATACTGTGGCAATGCCCCACATCTGCTATCAGAATCAGGAGCCTATTGTCCAAGGACTGTAAAAATAGGAGAAAACAGTCCCTGCTCTGAGTATCTTCATATAAAGGAAAGGAAATCCACAATGTTCAGTACATAAATACATAGATGTTAATTTTAACCAAATGGAATGTTGAAATATTACATCCATGTATCGATGCGAGCACTGTTAGGCAACAGATTCAATTGGTAATGGAGAGAACCTTCAGTCACAAAATAAATTAAACAGAAAATGTCTCGATAATCATCACAACCCTCTAAACCTCTATTTGCTCTCTCATGAGGTTGCTGCCCTCAGTGCAACAGTTTCACCTGTTCCTCCAGCTATCATCCCAAGATGCTTTACAAACTTTCTCTGTGCTTCAGACTTCTTGTCAGGCTTGATAGCAAAGTTACCTGGAAGAAATATTCAGAACTTACAGGTACTTAAATTAATAAAGTATAATAGAACAAACTTATAAATTAAACAGTAATAAGTCACCAGGACCCCAGATGGTATTCAACCAAGAGTTCCAAAGGAACTCAAATATGAAACTGCAGAACTACTAACTGTGGTATGTAACCTATCACTTAAATCAATTTCTGTACCAGATGACTCCTGGATAGCTAATGTGACACCAATTTTTTAAAAAGGCTCTGGAGGCAATCATGACAATTACAGGCCGGTAAACCTAACTTCAGTACCTGGCAAATTGATTGAAACTGTAGCAAAGAACAGAATTATCAGACACACAGATGAACACAATTTGTTGGAGAAGAGTCAACACAGCTTTTGTAAAGGGAAATCATGCCTCACAAGTCTATCAAAATTCTTTGAGAGGATCAACAAACATGAGGACAAGGTTGATCCAATGTATGTAGTGTACTGAGACTTTTGAAAATCTTTGACAAGGCTTCGCACCAAAGGCTCTTAAGCAAAGTAAGCAGTCACGGGGTAAAAGAAAGACAAAAGACAGAAAACAAAGGGGGAATAAATGGTTAGTTTTCAGAACAGAGAAAGGTAAATAGTGGTGTCCCCCAGCGATATGTTCGGTGACCAGTACTATTCAACATATTCATAACTGATTTGGAAAAAGGGGTAAACAGCAAGGTGGCAAAATTTGCTGACAATACAAAATTACTCAACGTTAAGTTTAAAGCAGACTGCAAAGAGTTAAAAAGGGATCTCACAAAACTGGGTGACTGGGCAACAAAATGGCAGATGAAATTCAGTGTTGATAAATGAAAAGTAACGCACATTGGAAAACATAATTCCAACTATACATACAAAACGATGGGATCTAAATTAGCTGTTGCTATTGTGAATAGTTCTCTGAAAACATCTGCTCAATGTGCAACAGCAGTCAAAAAAGCAAATGTTAGGAACCACTGTGAAAGGGATAGATAAGACAGAAAATATAATACCACTATATAAATCCATGGTATGCCTACACCTTGAATCCTGCTTGCAGTTCTGGTCACCTCATCTCAAAAAATATATAGAATTGGAAAAGGTATAGAGAAAGGCAACAAAAATGATTACGGGTATGGGACAGCTTCCATATGAGGACAGATTAAAAAGACTGGGACTTTTACGCTTGGAAAGAGACAACACATATGATGAACAGTATGGAGAAAAAGAATAAGGAAGTGTTATTTATTCCTTCACGTGACACAAGAACCAGGGGTAACCCAATAAAATTAATAGGCAGCAGGTTTAAAACAAACATCAGGAAGTACTTCTTCACTGAACACACAGTCAATCTGTGGAACTCGTTGCCAGGGGATAGGCAAAGGTGAAGGCCAAAACTATAATGGAGCTCAAAAAAGGAATAAAGTGAGTTCATGGAGGATAGGTCCATCAATGGCTATTAGCAAGAATTGTCAGGGATGCAGCTCCATTATGTGGGTGTTCCTAGCCTCTGACCACCAGAAGCTGCGAGTGGACAACATGGGGATGGATCACTCTGTGACTGTCTTCTCTGTTCAGTCCCTCTGAAGCACCTGGCATTGGCCACTGGAGAAAGAAAGGATATTGGACTAGATGGACCTTTGGTCTGACCCAGTATGGCTGTTTTTTGTCCTTATGTTCTTAAGGGATACAACTGCTGTGGAAGTCCAATTGTTGGAGTTGGCAACCTGATACATGGGGACAGATCTTCAGATCCAGCCAAACTGTGCTCAGCACAGGCCAAGGTGGAAATGGTAAAAGTGGCTTTATGCCCCCTTGTAGTCTCCAATCTTACTGCTGGCCAAGGACTAGTTTAGCTACAAGCATAATTTAGAATAACCTTGAGGCACCTCTGAAGAACTGCATCTAGCTGCACCAAAAGGTCATCCTGCAGCTGTGGATTGCTGGAGCACAGTGGTCACTCACCCTACACTGAGAGCTGGGAATAGCAATGACTGTCACCCAAGAGGCTAATTAAGTCATCTTTATGATCCCTTTGCATCATGGGACTTGCACTAAAACATTAACAGACCAAGAGCGTTAAGCCAAGAGACCCTGCAATGAATACAGCAATTAAATATATTAGTGTCCTGCACAGTCAGATCAGACCCTTTTTATTACAGTAATTTATTCATCTCTAGATACCCAGATAGCTAACAAGACTCCAATTAAACCCTTGGCATTGACACTAAAGGCCATGTGACCTTGACCCCTAGCATGCAGGGATCAAAAGAGCTACATAATTTCTTTTGTACACCAGAGGATGCCGCTGCTTCGGGGTAATCAAAAAATAAGACACAGCTTGTAACTCAATTCAGAGGCTACATATCTCTAAGAATCAAACAGAAAGCCTCATGACCAAATTCATGCTCTGATAATCAATTAACAGATTTGTAACCAATGCTACAGAGTTCCTGTTGTCTATAGCAATCGAAGTGCAACAGAAAAGTGTGTGTATTTGTAACTTATGTGGCTTATTGATTCCATCCAAAAAATAAGACTCATTTGTACTTTATTCCTAATAAAGGGCCTGATCCTGACAAGTGCTAAGTACCTGGAGCTGCCACTGAAGTATATGGGAGTTTTAGGTGTACACTCCCAGTCAATCAAGATCAGGGCAAAATCCCTTATACTCTTTTACAACCATCTTATGTGAGAGTCCCTCAACACATCGATCCCTCCCACACAGAAAGATCCTTATCCAAGACAAGCCTGTTTTAAAACAGGGCAAGCTGGCTTACAGCCAGGGAGTTACAGAGCAGAAATGATGCGCTTCCCAGAGGAGCACTAAGATTTGCAGCCTGAGCATCTCGCACAAAGATTAAAAAACTCTCAGCTACTTCAAATACAAGTTTATCAGTGATACAAAACAATATGAATGTATCAATAGAGTGGATTTAAATACCCTTTACAGGAGGGCAAGTGTTTGAACAGTCACATTCTCAGACCAGTACAATGCTCTCATTCCCCAGCATGGTCACGCTACAACAGGCATGAGTCAAGAACATTGGGAGAGAACTCCCATAGGAGAACTTTGGGGCTCATTTCAAAAGAAAGCAGTGTCCCAATCTGGAAAGCCCTCAAGATTTAAATTGCCTTTGAAAATAACTAGATTCCCCCTCCCTCCATTTTAACATCACCATACCTGTCCCCTTGTATACAAGGAGCCCGTTTGGCCCTCTGAAGTCAATGGTATCCCCAACAGTCATGCTGTCTAAGTACTGGGACATCTTCCCACCTTCAGGGAATTTGGGATGGACATTTTTGTAGTAGACCTGAAGAAACACAGCAACTGTTAGTGTTTTGACCATTTAGCTATCAGATGGCAATAGTGTCGTCTCAAAAACACCTTGCATAGAACACTGGACACCTGAAATGAGACCCAGGAAATCCCTTGCTCTCAGTATTCATTTGCGCACTGTAAGTGGAAACCACCACAGTGCAGTGAGAAAATTGCTGCTTCATGCAGCTGCTGCTTTTCCATCCATAGCAGGCAGTGTGGTTAATGGGAATGTCCGTGCAGACTCTATGCACTGCATTTATCTCCCTGTACCTCTGCAACGCCAGCCTCAAGTCACCTCCATCGCTAATCTCCCTCCAGAAAATGGCAGGAGGTCCTTTTTTCGCTTCACAGCATTCGAAAGGGCTCCACCATAAAGTGCAGTGATGAATATTACCTTAAATTCTCCCTTTCACCTTGAAAACGCTTTACAAACGTTAAACCGCTAACAAATCCTCACAACACGTGGAACATGAGGGATCAGGAACAAGAGTGAAACCCAGAAACAAAGGAGAAACTGAAGAAGAAAGCGGCTTGCCCAAAGACAAACAGAGAGTCAGCATTAGAATGGGGACTGGAAGAACTCAGGAGTCCAGGGACCTAACCACAGTGCACTCTGCAATCCACACTAGCTTGAAAGGTTCCAGCAAAGGAAACTATGAACACTCCTACTCAAAATCTTCCAGGATTCTAACATTGAATCAGAAAATGCAACATTCTTTCATGACACGGCACCAAGTATGCAAAGAACTTCAAGTCTATTGTTCAATTATGCAAGCATCAGAAAGGAAATAAAGGAGAAAACAGTCAGAGGTTGTTTTAGCATACAGAGATGGTTTGGGGAACGTGCAAGGCAGATTCTCAAAGAGCAGGTTATAGATGTGCAGACTGTAACATACTTCTCCACAAGATAAGAGTAAAGCAATGCCATGTACTGCTCTACCCATCCTGTCCAATAACAATCAATTTCAGCACATTTTTAAAGCTGAACTCTGTACAAGAGTCTCAATGTGGAAAACAAGGGCCTCGGGCTCATGCCAGGAGTAGATGCCGACTAGCCTTTCTTCTTCCACTCCTGCTGCACCTAGAATTCTCTCAAGGGCTTCCTCTCGCCTTCATTAAATTCAGGCTCCTCATCCATTCTCATGGCCCTGCACATCACTTTCCTGGCTTCCATCTCTGCTCTCATTTCATTTCAGAACCCTTCTTCATTCCTCTGCACCTCCCTTTATCTCCTTCTCCCCATCCTAGTGTCAAACCTTATTTTATTCTACCCTCTGCACTCTGAGCAGCCCAGTTTCAGCAACCAAATGCTCCCTCTCCTCCTCCAAATGTCTCCTTTAAACCCACCTCTTTTTGAAGCCTTCCCATAATAAATAGAGGTGGGCTGAAGACAGTCTTCCTGTCCCATGAAATTTTTTTAAATTCCAAAGTTTTCCTGTTCTGCATCAAAATTACCCTGAGACCTTTCAAAGTTTTTTCTGACAAAAAACTAGAGAGACACCCCCCCCCCACCCTCCCCCCAAAAAAATTCAATCCTGGTCTTGAGAAAACTTTCCCAACTAAAGTTTTGTTGAACCTGATCTTTTCCTGCAATGAGTTTTGGTTTCAATTAATCAGCATTTCTGATAAACGTTTCATTGAAAAATTCCTGACCAACTCCAACAATGAACTCTTCACTAATTAGGTCCCCAGCCTTAAAGCCCTACATTGGTTATCCATCTGAGCTCTTGGAGAAGGCAACCTTCACCTGATTCTGATTTCACATGGATTTTACACTAGTGTAACTACTGACTTTAATTTATCCCAGTATGAGAGCTCCACCAGGTCCTTTGTCTTTCTATGCATTTTATAGAGCACTCTGAACTTATGGCATTCTCCAAATAATAATTTCATTTGAACAACTTCCAAAGCTTAGAGAGATGTGGTGGAATTTCTCTAGTGAAGATGAAGTTAGCAAGCACCTCTTGTCACTTATTTTCTACTTCCATGTAAACCCTATCAATGGCAGCAGCATAGTTTTAGGAAGAACAGTCCTTAGTTACCAAGTATCAGAGTCCTTAGTTAATCATTGCTGAAGAAGTAACAGGGAAGAGCTCCTGACTCCATTTTATTGGATACTGTGCTGAAATAGTGACTATTGTTTTCTTCTCCCTCTCAGGGTCGTGATGGCAGATTTACTAGCGAGATTTATATCATTTAAAGGACATTGTGAAATAAGCTGGTGTTTCAAATTCCTAACAGCCAGGTATCACATCATAAAAACTGGTATCACAATTGGCAGCCTTGTAACAATCATCCTCTCATCCCTAAAGAATGAGGCACCAAAAATACATCCCTCTCAAATGTCAGGCATTGGTAGGAGCTGTAGGGAGAAATTTGCAGTGTCCCCCGCTGTACCTATTCAATAGGAAAATAGGCTTCACTCTCTACATCTAATATCCAGCACCTTCCAGGATCACTAAATACACTTTAAAATAAATACTAACCTGGAGGACTTTTGCCATCACATCACCGTATATTAAGAAAGGTCAAATTTGGGGCATAAACTACAGTGTTTGACAGCATCACTTTAAATGTCACTTAAATCCAATCCTCTCCTTCCTAAGGCAAGCATCGCCTTCTACACTTGGATAGTAAACATGTCCAGTTAGATTAAATTATCTGTCTCCATGAAGGCAGCTAATATTTACCTTTATAATTAAGTCAACATAACCTTTTACTTCATCACTGGAAACTGGAGTGTAGGCCCGGATGACAAGATTACCATTGATTTTGGAAGAGAGGTAAACATGCTGGCCTAGGGAGAAAGAGTTACAATCTAATTATCTCTTTCAGGACTGAGAAAAGAGAAAACAAAAAGAATGGAGTGGGAAATAAAGAATCTAAACATATACAATAACTCCAATAAAAGCATTAGAAGCTAACCATGATAGGCACATCCTGTTGGGATACAGAAGTTGCATCATCATCTAGTCATACAACCCTAGAATCATTCTTCACTACATTGAAGTCTAAGTCTAATCAAATGCTATTGTTGAGAATATATGCTATATCCTTCAATATGTATATTTACATAATCCATGGTTATCATAACACCATGCAAAATACACACACACCCCATATATGTGATGAGAACAGCAATAGTATAAATTCTTTTTACAACCATGAAATAAATTGCTGAACTATGTCATGATGGCTATTTTGTTCTTTTGTTTTGCGTACCTTGGACATTACCACTACACTGCCTCTAACCCATTTCTTCCAGGACCACCTCAGATATTGAAAAAACACTTTGCCCATTGTGGCTCTTCCCAATGCATGCCAATAAAGCAATACCATGTATAAATCTATAATTCCAGATCCCTGTTATTGAAAAACTAATATAATAGTCACTATTTCTACTGGACAGAAGATTTCTGCTTTGTTGCAGTTTAGACAGCCAGTCAGTAGCCAGTCAGCCAGATACAATTTTATCAAACTATTCCTACTATCACATCTCCTTTTCTCTGGTCAAGTGGCTGGGCCCATGGTTAGAACAAGATGCTGCAGGCTCTACCTGTGTCTTCACATATAACCTACAGTTGTAGGACTTTCTACTACACTTGTATATTTGGGAAGGGCTCAGTTCATACAAGAGTCAACCTATTCACACCTATATTTGGGATTTATGAAAAAAAATGAAAGCATAGTAATTTGGCTTTTGCTGCTGCTCCCAACCTAATAGGTATCCACACAGCCTCTGTTCCTTCTCCTGTTTGTCGGTGCTAATCTATGGTTTTTGTAGCATGGTATTATACAAGAGAGGGAGCTTGTCCAACAATCCAGCACCATGGCTGCCTCTAAATGGAGTTTTTAATACCCCATCTTCCTGAGCACCAAATTCACTATGCTTAAAAAAAAAAAGAAGAAGAAGAAGAAGATGATGATGATCAGGGAAAAATCCTAAATTTACCCAAAAAAAATAATCACAGGAAAGAGTTTCAGTATTTACCTATAGGTAGCCCTAATACATGATCCGGCGACGGAAGCCCAAACCTGAATTTCCTGGTATCGTGGCTGATCTCCTGACAGAAAGCAAAGAGATGGAGAATAATAAGTGTGGTTTCAACAAGACAGTACAGTAGCACTCGGAATTTGGAAAACAGCACAATGTGCTTTGGTGAAACTACTGTTCATTAAAGTATAAGCCAAAATCCAAACAGCAAAACAGAAACAGGTTTGACAGTGAAATCTTAACAGTTCATCTTTTTCTAAGCCTGCTTATAAAGGACTAACTCTTGAAGTCCTCTCCCCTTCTCAGAAGCCAAGAGGAAGGCAATTTTTCCTGATTAAGGACATTGTGACAATTGCAGCCTTACAACAAAAATCTTTAGGTTTTCTCTAATCAATATACATGCTCATTGTACCTTTGATGTTTCCTGATTTATGACAAAACTGGCATGCCTTATGTAGAGGCACACATTACATTAAGGAAGGCTATAACTCCTACTTCCCACCAATGCAAATTCTAAGTGTATTAAAAGGAAGATATGCCTCTGGATTAGGAACTGTGCATTCAAAGAAACTAATCCAATTATTTATTCTTTTGAAGGGGTAACTAGTAAACACTAATTTATGCATTACATTTTAGGAACCAAATTTATGCAACATCTAGAAAAAATATTCCAAGACATTTCCAGCAGCAGCTATGAAAATGAGATGTTCCCCAAAAGCATTAAATACTTAATGACAGAGAACACTTACTGTCCTAAGTAAACCCACTCAAGGAACAGGGAGGATACAAGATCCAGATGCCATATAAAAAGTTTATTACCAAAGGTGATGATAAAATTGTACTGGAACACACATGGAGATACTTTAAAGGGGTTGTTTAATATTAAAAAATAATATTAATCTTTTTTAACCTTCTATCCAAGAACCTCAAAACATTTTACAAACATTAATTAGAGACATACCTTCAAACCACAGCACTCATAATTGGAAATCCCAAAGTTCAGGGATGTTTATATCAGAGTTCTGAGCTAGCCCATTATTACCAGGGAAACTCTTTGGATCCAAGTTCAAATTTTAAAATCTCCACTCTTAGTTTCAGAGATGAATGGATCTGTGTTTGGGTCCATCTCTGACTATGCGAACTTCACAACACTCCTGAGAAATAACTTAGCATTATGGGTCTTCATTTTGTAGATATGGGCACAGACCAAAAAAAAAAAAAAAAAGACTTATTGAACTGCTCAAGATCACACAATGAACCAGTTTCAGAGCCAGGGTAAGAGCACAGATCTAACTCCAGTCCTGTTTTGGTCATTCATGCTTCCTCCCTGAGAAAGTGTAGGCTGCACAATCTAAGTGATCTTCACAGAGCAGTTTGGCAGGATTCTAAACGAACTGAATGGGTTTGGTCACCTCTTTCTTTATCAATGGCAACGGATACTTAGTGTGTGGCTCCTGTAATGTAATGGGATCACTCTTCCTCTGGGATCTCCTAGCCTTGAAAACTAACAGCAAGGCTGACAGGGCAATGACAACCACAGCAATCAGCAAGGCCAGGTCCTACAAAAACAAAAACAAATGGCACATGACATCAGACACAGCCTTGACTCAGAAAGGAAAGGAGGACTTGTGGCACGTTAGAGACTAACACATTTATTTGACAGGTTTCTGAGTAACAGCCGTGTTAGTCTGTATTCGCAAAAAGAAAAGGAGTACTTGTGGCACCTTAGAGACTAACCAATTTATTTGAGCATGAGCTTTCGTGAGCTACAGCTCACTTCATCAGATGCCTACCGTGGAAACTGCAGCAGACTTCATATATACACAGAGAATATGAAACAATACCTCCTCCCACCCCACTGTCCTGCTGGTAATAGCTTATCTAAAGTGATCATCAGGTGGGCCATTTCCAGCACAAATCCAGGTTCTCTCACCCTCCACCCCCCCCCCCACAAATTCACTCTCCTGCTGGTGCTAGCCCATCCAAAGTGACAACTCTTTACATAATCAAGTCGGGCTATTTCCTGCATAAATCCAGGTTTTCTCACATCCCCCCCACCCCCATACACACACAAACTCACTCTCCTGCTGGTAATAGCTCATCTAAACTGACCACTCTCCAAGTTTGAATCCAAGTTAAACCAGAACATCTGGGGGGGGGGGGGGGGGGGTAGGAAAAAAACAAGAGGAAACAGGCTACCTTGCATAATGACTTAGCCACTCCCAGTCTCTATTTAAGCCTAAATTAATAGTATCCAATTTGCAAATGAATTCCAATTCAGCAGTTTCTCACTGGAGTCTGGAATTGAAGTTTTTTTGTTTTAAGATAGCGACCTTCATGCCTGTGATTGCGTGACCAGAGAGATTGAAGTGTTCTCCGACTGGTTTATGAATGTTATAATTCTTGACATCTGATTTGTGTCCATTTATCCTTTTACGTAGAGACTGTCCAGTTTGACCAATGTACATGGCAGAGGGGCATTGCTGGCACATGATGGCATATATTTGAGCATAAGCTTTCGTGAGCTACATTGTAGCTCCCTTCATCGGCTGAAAGCTCATGCTCAAATAAATTGGTTAGTCTCTAAGGTGCCACAAGTCCTCCTTTTCTTTTTGCGAATACAGACTGACACGGCTGCTACTCTGAAACCAGCCTTGACTCAGAGTCACTGTTTTAACTGCATCAAATGCACCAGCCTCGAAGAGACACAGATAAAGTGGCCCTGGGCACGTTAATATTATGGCCACAGACCTCGGACGGACGTGGGGGGCTGGGCAGCTTCCCCCGGAGCTGCGAGGATCTGGGGCCTCGGAAATGTTGCGACCCTGCGGGACAAGCCGCAAACACACCAAGCGCGCACCCCCCTCTCAGCCCAGCCTCCATCACTGCCCCGCCCCCCATGCTCTTGGCGCTAACGGCGCTCCCAGGAGTTTCTCAAACCGCCCCGCCCCGCCCCAGGCTGCAGAGGGGCGGGGAGCGGGTGCCACGGAGCCCAGCCTGCACCGCCCGCCGGACACAGCCCCCCTCGTACCGCGCTCGGCTCCATGACTGCGGCAGGCAGCGCTCCCGGCCCCGGCGCCGCCTGACGGGTCCCGCGTCGACTCCCGCTGCAACCTCCGAGTCCTCTCCCCGGCACGGTCCGCCCAGCCCGGGCAAGCCCCTCCTGAGTCCCGCCCTGCACGCTCCGCCTCCCCCCACCCTCCCCCAAACAGCCCCCCTCCAGCCCGGCTCACTCTCTCCAGCCCCTGCCACTGCTACCGCCCCCGTGCAACCTGCTCCAGCCCTGCACACTCTCTCCACCCCGTGCAAACTCTTCCCACGCTCCCCGCTCCGCCCCAGGGCAGCCCCTCCAGCCCTGCACGCTCCCCCCGTGCAGCCCCCTCTCCCCACTGTGCAGCCCCTCCAGCCCTGCACGCTCCCCCCGTGCAACCCCCTCTCCCCACTGTGCAGCCCCTCCAGCCCTGCACGCTCCCCCCGTGCAGCCCCTCCAGCCCTGCACGCTCCCCCCGTGCAGCCCCCTCTCCCCACTGTGCAGCCCCTCCAGCCCTGCACGCTCCCCCCGTGCAACCCCCTCTCCCCACTGTGCAGCCCCTCCAGCCCTGCACGCTCCCCACTGTGCAGCCCCTCCCTCAGCCCTGCCCTGCACGCTCCCCCCCGTGCAACCCCCTCTCCCCACTGTGCAGCCCCTCCAGCCCTGCACCCCCCCCCGTGCAACCCCCTCTCCCCACTGTGCAGCCCCCCCAGCCCCCCCCCCCCCCCCCCCCCACTGTGCAGCCCCTCCAGCCCTGCACGCTCCCCCCGTGCAGCCCCCTCTCCCCACTGTGCAGCCCCTCCAGCCCTGCAGCCCCCCCAGCCCCGCTCCCCCCCGTGCAGCCCCCTCTCCCCACTGTGCAGCCCCTCCAGCCCTGCACGCTCCCCCCGTGCAGCCCCCTCTCCCCACTGTGCAGCCCCTCCAGCCCTGCACGCTCCCCCCGTCCCCCACCCCCCCCCCCCACTGTGCAGCCCCTCCAGCCCTGCACGCTCCCCCCGCCTGCAACCCCCTCTCCCCACTGTGCAGCCCCTCCAGCCCTGCACGCTCCCCCCCGTGCAACCCCCTCTCCCCACTGTGCAGCCCCTCCAGCCCTGCACGCTCCCCCCCGTGCACCCCCTCTCCCCACTGTGCAGCCCCTCCAGCCCTGCACGCTCCCCCCGTGCAACCCCCTCTCCCCACTGTGCAGCCCCTCCAGCCCTACACGCACCCCCCGTGCAACCCCCTCTCCCCACTGTGCAGCCCCTCCAGCCCTGCACGCTCCCCCCGTGCAACCCCCTCTCCCCACTGTGCAGCCCCTCCAGCCCTGCACGCTCCCCCCGTGCAACCCCCTCTCCCCACTGTGCAGCCCCTCCAGCCCTGCACACTCCCCACTGTGCAGCCCCCTCTCCCCACTGTGCAGCCCCTCCAGCCCTGCACGCTCCCCCCCGTGCACCCCCTCTCCCCACTGTGCAGCCTGTGCAAACCCCTGCCGCCCTGCACGCTCCTCCTGCCCCTTACCCATGTTTTGCCCCACACAAGCCACTCCTCTCTCACCCCAGGGGAAAAACCCCCGCCCACCCGTTCCAACACCTTCCGACCCTTGGTCCCTGCAATCCTTTCCCCCTCACCCTGCTTCAGCACTGTGCTAGCACCTAGACGATATAGGTCACTTCTGCTGCACCTACCATGTTCCCTAACCACTGGATTTCACCAGTCTAGATGAGGCCTGCTCTATACTTAACATTTCGATAGACTGACAAGCCCCTCTCACTGTCCCAGCACCTCCTAATAGCTCACCAGGTCTGATGCCCCTTCTGTCACTTCTCTCTCTGTGACTCAGGGTGCTCTCTTCATGGTTTGGCTCCCTCGCCAGGTCACTACAGTCGTCCCCTTCTGGGGTATCAAAGTCTCTACATAAAAAATGGCAGACTGCCCTGACCTGGATACTCCTGCAGTGGCCCACCTTCTACTTCAGATTCCAGCTCAAGAACCCTCTAATCAGCAGCCAAGGTCTGCACCATCTTACACCTTGCTGCCATTCCCCTGAGCCTTTTCATATATCCTCTCTCCCAGGTTTCCCTCTCTAATGTCCTGAGAGTGGCTACATGCTCTGCTGCCAAGTTCCCAGCTTTATACTAGCCCCACCTGTTCCTTCTCTGCCTCCATCCATCAAGCAACTTTTCAAGCACAGGCTCTCCCCCAGGTGCAGCCCATCAGGTTAAGTAATCTAATTTATCCTGCTCTGCCACCTTGTGTAATATGACCATCCCATCATTTTGACATAACTACATTGCTCAGAAGTGTGGATTTTTCACACTTCTGAGTAAAGTAACTATGCTGATATAACCCCAAGTGGAAAATCCCTTCTATCAATGTAGTTGACACTATAGGGTTATGCTGGCACAGACATGGTACCGTAGCTATGCCAATATAGTCCCCACAGTTTAGACATGACCTAAAATATCATGTGTACATACAGACACACACACACCATTATACTTAAGAGTGAGAAAGGAAAATAATGCATAACTCTTGGAGAAGAAAAGGAGTACTTGTGGCACCTTAGAGACTAACCAATTTATTTGAGCATAAGCTTTCGTGAGCTACAGCTCACTTCATCGGATGTATACTGTGGAAAATACAGAAGATGTTTTTATACACACAAACCATGAAAAAATGGGTGATTATCACTACAAAAGGTTTTCTCTCCCCCCACCCCACTCTCCTGCTGGTAATAGCTTATGTAAAGTGATCACTCTCCTTACAATGTGTATGATAATCAAGGTGGGCCATTTCCAGCACAAATCCAGGTTTTCTCCCCCCCCCCCAACACACCCACTCTCCTGTTGGTAATAGCTTATCTAAAGTGATCACTCTCCTTACAATGTGTATGATAATCAAGGTGGGCCATTTCACTTCAATGTCTCTGGTCACGCGATTACAGACATGAAAGTTGCGATATTACAACAGAAAAACTTCAAATCCAGACTCCAGCAAGAGACTGCTGAATTGGAATTCATTTGAAAATTGGATACAATTAACTTAGGCTTGAATAGAGACTGGGAGTGGCTAAGTCATTATGCAAGGTAACCTACTTCCCCTTGTTTTTTCCTACCCCCGCCTCCCTTCCTCAGACGTTCTTGTTAAACCCTGGATTTGTGCTGGAAATGGCCCACCTTGATTATCATACACATTGTAAGGAGAGTGATCACTTTACATAAGCTATTACCAGCAGGAGAGTGGGGTGGGGGGAGAGAAAACCTTTTGTAGTGATAATCACCCATTTTTTCATGGTTTGTGTGTATAAAAACATCTTCTGTATTTTCCACAGTATGCATCCGATGAAGTAAGCTGTAGCTCACGAAAGCTTATGCTCAAATAAATTGGTTAGTCTCTAAGGTGCCACAAGTACTCCTTTTCTTTTTGCAAATACAGACTAACGCGGCTGTTTCTCGGAGAAGAGAAAGAGATGCCAGCAATAATTTTCCACTGTCAGGTTATGGACAGTGGTACAAAAAGGTTGCAAGGTACTAAACCTCAATACCATATTAAACCTGTCCTAGACAGTTTCTTGGTGCATTAACTTTGGTAACACTTGTATATTTTGTCATGCTAGTGAAGTTATCCAAATTGAAAGTAAAATGCATGCAGTCATCCGTTGTTATATAATGAAGTGAGTATGATTTTAAAAAGAGGGAAAAATTGCACAGTCCAATACCTCTACACCCCTTATTTTCTTGGTTCCTATTTTTTACCTTTCTTACCACTGTTTTCTCCACTCATCACTTTCAAAAACAGGAGAATGTTTAGCCTCAAATGCCATTAATTCGCCCCCATTATTCAGACTGCCAGAGAACGAGATGTGCTCTGGAAGATGCCCTGGTTTACAATTCAGTAGTTGCATTCAATGAATCCCTTAAGTCAGTGAAACATAGTGGGCAATGCCCACACACTATCCTAATCAGGACCCATGGAATTCTGTGGCAGCATAAGATTTATTTCATTGACAAAAGCTGTTGAATTCTGATGCCACAAATGTTGATTAAGGTGGCATGACTTATTTTCCATTGCAGAATAACGGTTAATTTGTTCAGTTGGAAAAACAATTTATACTTATGACATTTTAAAATAAAGACTAATGAAAGCAAAATAATATTTATATAAAGTTTCCATGTTGTTCAACTTACAGTTTGGGGACTTAACAAAACAGCTCCCGAAACTAAAACTTCACTGTATGTTAGTTTCAAACATGTGGCCTTCAGCGTATTTTACTGAGATTGCTGAGCTGTATGACTAGATTATCAGTGGCCTTCTGAACTGTGCTTTTGGTTGGAAAAGAATTTGTCTTCTCTCAAGGACATGACTTCAATTCCTATGATAAGATGAATGCAAGACAGGGGTCTTGAAATCCTTGAAAGAATTTCAGGAGCGGATTTTTGTCTGATCTTTTGATTATTGCAGACCATTTCTGAGGCCTCTTTCTAGCTAATATTATTTTTCACTTTCTTCTAGTGATGGTCCTTTCTTGCAACCACAGGATGGATTCTGGACCATGCAAAATTTTGATTCCTTCATTAAACTATTAAGCCCGATTCTACTCCACTTGTCCAGTTTTACACAGGTAAAACTATTGACTCAACTGGAACGACTCCTTAATTTACACTGGTGTAAGTGCATGAAAAATCAGGCCCATTCTCTCTTGTTTGAGAAAGGAAAAGTTTCCTCCTTTTGTGTGGATCCAATATTTGAAGGCAATTTTCTTCCATTAAAAATTACAATTATGGCCCATATGCTACTTGTCTTTCCATAGCATAAAGGGAAGCCAGCAGGGATAAAGAAAGATAAAAGTAGGCCTGGGAAGACCATGTGGAACAAATCGAGTAACACATGCTGCATGATGCCGCTGCCAGCAGTTCCTCCACTGGAGACCCCCACAAGGGAAAAGGTGTGTGGGCAGCCTGAGGGTGAATATCTGCTTTCCATGCTCCCTGACAAAGTATATCTAAGGCGACTATGACACACAAGTTGTTGCTACTCTGTGTTCTCCAGTGGGGCTCACTTGAGCACAATCAAAGGTGGAGAACTGGGAACAGCATAACACAGGAGTCAGCTGTGTGATCCTCAGTGGGTTAGGGAGGAGTGCAATCAAAGAGTTG